TGAAGCTTGAACTTCATCCCAAGCGTCCACAACATGACAAAATATTTTTCTTCCATGATAAAGACCGACCGCATATTGCTAAGAGTACCCGACAGAAACTATTGGAGCTGAACTGCGAAATAGTTTCAAATCCTCCGTATTCACCGGCCTTAGCGCCAAAAGATTTTAGTTTATTCTGGTCACTTAGTAAACATTTGCGTGAAAAAAGCTTTCATGATGAACCCCAGTTACAACAGTACATAGAGGACTTTTCAAATCCAAACGGCCAAAGTTTTACAGAGACGCAACTCAATCTTTGCCTAATCGCTGGCGTACAGTGGTAGATAACGGCGGTGATGACATTGTGAATTATTCAATAATAATATTTATAAAAAATAATAATAATAATAACACTTTATTGTCAACACAACAGATATCTTCACAGATTTTAAAAACTAAACAATACATCAAAGTGTAACAAATGGCGGTCTTATCGCTGAAAGCGATTTCTGCCAGACAACCATTGGATGGATAGGAATGTTAATTATAACGAAACGGGGGTGTAAACTTAAAGTAGGTAATTCCTAATAAATAATTGAAACATAACAATAATAGACACCAGAAGTTGACAAATATAATATACTTGCATAAATACATATAACATAATACATAAATACATAAAATATGATACATATAAATACTAATGAATTGAAGAAGGGGTTATTAACAGTTAAAATATATTAAACAGATAAATAATGTTCTTTTACCAATTCTTTGGAGATATTTAATGATTGAGCGCGTCTTATGAAAGTCGGAAGAGCATTCCAAAGCTATTATTTCATAAATAAATAAATAAATTAGTTACGCGAGTCGCTCGTTATTTATTAGCCAATCAGATAGCTTGAAAAATTCGTCAGTCCTGTTGGGTCCTGGGTAGCTCAGTGGTTAGAGCAGCCGCCCAGATTACGAAAGGTCATGGGTTCGAGTCCCATCTCAGGGACAAAGTGCATTTTTCATTAAGAATGATTCTGATTTCTTACCTTTAGAGACAAAATATATGTGACGATGTTTAATTTTTAAAATATTATTTTGTTGCAGATTTTTTCTGAAGTTCTTCCTGAAATGTAACCAGAACTGTCTCAAAAACGCCGGCAACCCACGGGATATGAGAAGATTTCAAGTGAGTACCGAGGCTGTTTTGAAGCTTTATTAAATATTGAGGAATAATAAATTAATGTAGTATTCGATGACGCCGTGTATACTATAAAAGGCACGTTAAAACGTCAGTCTGCATTTCTTAGCGTTCAACTACTGTGCTAGTTTGTATCTGAGCCTCCATAAGATGATGATCTCATCTATTTTATAAAGAGGAATGTTTTAATTGTTTGTATTGAATAGCCTCCGAAACAACCCGATCGATTTTAAAAATTCTTCTACTTACCGAAAGCTACATCATAAGAGGTTGACAAGGTTATAAATTATGCGGGCGAAGTCACTGGAAGACAGCCAGTTTTTCATAATTCTTAAAAAAGGTGAGATACTTTCTAAAGGTTTATTCTTTTTTAGAATAAACGTTTACTTAGACAAGACAAGTTGAGTTTTAGTTTCGTATCTGCGATGCGTCCGCAGTAGACAGGTATCATGTTTACCAGACGAATTTAAAAATATACTCAGTACTCCGCCTGTATTCCCAGTAGCCTACGGCCTTAGTGATAGCTTGTAGCGATTGAAACTAAAGATATCGCTATATTTGACATGTGCATTCACAATTAAAAAATCGTTAAAATAAAAACTTCATATTAACTTCATATTACAAATGTAACAGTCTCAAATATTAGTGGAATATTTATTTATAAAATAAAAAAGAGCTTAACTGGCCTATTTTGTAAATGACTTCATTATGTATATTTTTCATAAAACATAAGCTTAAAACTTTAAAAACTTACAACTGCAAAAGAAATGTCCTACTAAAATGGAAATACTTCTCATCTTTGAATAAATATATTGAATACAGAATTTTCTTTCCTTTAATTTGTTCAACAATCACTTTATTAATAATAATTAATTATTTAATTTATATAATACCTATATATAAGTTCAAAAGAAAAGTAATCTTTCACTTTTAATACTCACCTCCATAGCTAAACTCCAAAGAGTGTATCACCCTTAACTGTTGGAAGGGTTGTGTTCACGACTCTTGAATATTTGAAACGGCTCCAATTTACGGAGGGATGAAATTAAATTTCTTTATTCCACCTTATTTATTTACATTTTGACGATATCCGCTCGTTCTTTTACTTTAAATCTAATTTAGTTCTAAAGACATAAGTAAGTTTATAGTTTGCTTAACGTAAATAAGCTCTGCTAATATTTTATCTAGTTTTATACTTTAAATCAGTGATTCAGAATTTATGAAAATCGTGAAAAAGCCAAGATTGGATTTCCGTGTAGTACACAATCTAGAAATCAACTTTCATAGTATAAAGGGTAGTTTTTTACTGAAGACTTAGATTACCTTAACAGTGCAGCTATTTATTTAATGCTAGCTGTTTCGCGCGCATAAATTATAGTCTGTGTCATCCGCTCATGATGTAGCTACTTGTAGGCAAAATAATTTTTTAAATCGGTCTAGTGGTTTGGAGCCTGTTCGATGAAAACAAACAATCAAGTCTTTTCTTTATATTATTAGTATAGGAATACCTAGTTTGTATTATTTATCAAAAGAAACACAGTTCAAAAGAATTATGAAGTAGGTGCTCCCGGATATGCTATTTATGCTATTGTCTTTAATCTTTCTTATTTATTTACTAATGATTTATTTACCAATGATGCACGAATCCATAACTTTGTCAACTTAAGAACCCTTTTTTGGGTACAGTTATACCAGTTTTTGTATTGAGTTTTAGTTTTTATTTACCTAATACGTAATAAATTTCAAAATATTCTATCTTCGGCTATTATTTTATTAATTATTTTGTCTAGTAATAGGAATGTTCCTTTTTATAAGTATATGGTTACTAGGTACTTTTTGATATTCTGTGTCGCACCATAGAACTGAAATCGAGTTTCTGAATTGGTGTGGTGATACTGTGGGTGATACTGAACACGAAGTCTCAAGGTTAAAAACTTAATGCCTTAAATTGGTAAAAGGGGATCATGATCTCGATCGAACAGATCTTCGTTTATGTGTCAATATGTGTTTTGTCTTTGTTATTAACTCACTTTTTTTGTTATTGTCACTAAGGTATACCTATATTCCTTTTTTTACCTTTTTTCCAACTAAAACTTATTTATCTGGTTTCCCACATCCACTTTAATATAATTGTAGATAGTTTATCATGAGATTAAATTATATAACAAGAAAATAGGATTCCCAATTACAATTTTAGATTCGAATAAATTTATCATTTAATCAAGATAAATTAATATAAGTTACACTACTTACTTAATGAAGTTTGCATATCAAAGTTTAGCTTCATAACTTCTCGTTAAAAGTTAACAAAGTTCCATTTATTTTTTAATAATAAACTAATTATGGACAACCCTGCCAATTATAAAGGTGCATTCAGTATACTTATGAGTACAAATTTGCTTCTCCTGTTGGCTAAGACATATTTGTCTTACGTGTCCTTTGCGAAACTTTAAGCAAACATGAAACTTACCTCTCATACTTAGGATACATTTCTGTGTACATTAGTAGTACTGGCGATATCTAAGTTTGTGTGCGTAGTTATGTCTATATTTGGGCTTTCTGTGTGTCATTGAATAATTCAGTGGTCGTTCCCCACCGTTTCAAGGGTAAGAATATATGGGCATAATATATATCTATGTACATATTTATGGCTTTCAGAATCGAAATAATGCAGTCTCTTTATCGGCATGAATAATATATCGGGCGTTATACTCGAATGCATTTTAGTGTGCACATTTAAAGTTCCGTATTTTGAACCATATTTCGCACTAAACTAGCAGTTAGTTTCTATGATACAATTCTGTTGATTTATGTAGCATCATATATTAGTTAAAGGAGATTTTTGTAGAATCAGATTCGTAAAGTTAATTGTCTATTTCTTAATTTTTAATAAAAATAAGCTTTCTGCCAGCGATTTCCCCTGCGTGGACCTGTTTTATTTATATAAACCTTCCTTTTAAATCACTCTATCAAAATCTGTTGAGTAAATGAAAGTTTTTTTTTAATCGGTCCAATAATCTCAAAGGCTATTTTATACAAACCAACAAACAATTAAATCTTACCTCTTTATAATATTAGTATAGATGATGCGTTCATTTTAACAAACCTTTTTTTAATTACTCGTGTGTGACAAGTCAATTAAGGTATAGATAAGTCCTGAATTAAGGGGAAGCAGACATCAAATCTAATTTTTCTCTTTTGGGATAAAAAATCATACAACGACCAACTAATTTTCTTTAAAAATCTTTTTGCGCACTAATTGTTTATTTATATACTGATTTTTGTCCGTGACTGTTAATTTATAAAGCAATTTTAAAAATGCTAAACGATTGTTATCTTGTCGATGTCTGGATACATAATTTAATGATTTTGTCTCGGGTAATGACGTATTTTCATACAAAATTTCAACCCCTTCAATGTCTTTTTTTGCGATAAAGTAAAGGACATAGCCTTTTTGTAGGTCAACTACATCTTTGTACCTAAATTACAATAGGTAAATTAAATATGTTCAACTGAAAGACAAAACAATTTCATTACCAATTATAATGGCAATTTCAGAATATCAATCTTTTAATATTACGTGTATTATTAAATTTATTTTAAAGAGGAATATCTTTACACATTAGTGTTGAAGAGGGCAAATATTATTTTTCAATCACACCTTAAATGCAGCTTGAAATTCGTGAAAATCTTTCTACTGGCAATGAAAGGATAGATTTATAATGAGTAGGACACGGGTCCTAGTCATTGAAAAGTTATATCAATCGAATGTCTATCGGCCACCCACGCGATAGTATATGCACATTGCAATTCCTATTGGAGTTCGCCGATGTCGACGGTGGCTCCACCTCCCAGAGGACTCTCCCTTTCAGCGTTGCGTGAGTGCGTGCTAGTGAATGCAAGGGAAAGAAAGGAAGGGTTTTATCGACAACAGTACCGTGATCTTGAACTTTACAATGTTTATTTAATGCTATAAGTAATATTTAAATTCAATAATTGTTTATAATAACTATCTATTTTTTATTTACAAGAATAAATTTACTCATTGGGAGTTTTTTACTTTTATCTCGTGAATTTTTCTTTTGAGACGTACAAATCATATTTAATATGTAAAAGTATACAGATTCTAAAGATATATAGCAATAATATATAATAAATTACTGTAAAAGTAAGGTTAAGGTTTTCAGAAACGGTATCACTTACAATTACATTAAAAATGTAGAAAAACCTTTTTGCTTAAAAACATATTGAAAATGCCATTCGTTCTAGGTCGTGATATCAACACAAGTTATGGTGGACGGACCCTTACTGGCGATATCTGACAACATGTTCGTCCATAACAACAGCAAACACGGCCGGCGTGCCAAGCGTCTCGACCCGACTGAAGGTATTGACGCAGCACCAGAGACTACTTGTACGTTTTTGTTTTGTTTTATCATTTTTTATTATTATTTAAGACCTTTTTGTTTTCCAAACTTTTTACTTTCATTTTTATTGTTACTGGCTAACAACAAATCTTAGCAATCGTCAATTATAAACAAATATAGAAGATAATATTACATTTATGAGTTATTCATATCTACTTAATAAAATAAAAAACTTACGTGGTGCATGCTCCTCTTTTTTATAAAAAATATATATCGCAACAAATTCATCATATTTTATAATTGATTTTATTATATCTAAATGAACAATAATTTTAAATCAGTTACTAGAGTTTAATTATTCAATTTTAAAAAAGCTTTAATTGTCTTTTCTTCCAACAATAATGGCAGTTCAAAGATGTAGTCCCATTTAAATTTAATTCCGTTAAAAAATCATAAATTTGATGTTTGTAACACTGTAGTGATACACAGCAATTTTGTTTGAAACATTGTAATATCGTCAATAAAAGACGAGTTGGTAAACTAAAAACTTACGAAACTTATACACAAGGCAGTCAATCGAGGACAAATGCGCAAAACTCATAATGTAACATCAGAACTCGTCGTTTGTATGCAAGGAATCACTGTAGACATTTCGCAAAGAAGTTCGTGGGGTGAGCTGGGGTGTTGAAGCGAGCATGAAGCGACGCGGGGTAATATAGTGAGGAATTATGCTTTTCGCAAAAAGTTTCCGCGTTCACGTTACAGATCGTATACTTTAATAATGTGAAGACATCAAAACCTCTTTTATTGTTACTTTGGTATTACAGTGGTTGGTTATTTTAAATATTTTGGTGTTACCTAATTTTTATGTCTGTTACATCCAGTTACACAAACTTTTATTGAGGTTTAATGATGAACTTAGCTGTAATTAATGCTCTAATTTTCAAAATAAGTATTGGTAATATCGCTTTAAATTAATGACAATTTTAATGGGTGTTTGAGCAACTGGTCGATTTTATCGAAAAGTATGATTAGGTAGATTAAAAACATAAAAGTTTACTTTGTAAACCACGTTATTGATGAAGTATTGATTTACAGCGTGTAACATTAAACACTTTTTAAATTGTTATATTATATTATAGGTACTGGAATAAAATACCTAGCATTAATTGAACGCAAATGAGGAATAATATTTTATTATATGCCAAAAAATATCGTTGAAAATCTTATAACATTTTTTAAACCTTGTGCGCTGCTTTCCCAATTTGTAGTTTGTAACAAAAAGCAGAAAAATGGTACAACATAATCTTGAATGTCTAAATTGTAATACAATTAGCACATAACAGTATCTTAATACTCTTTTGATCGTATCAATAGAATTATTCAGACGATTAATAAAAGGTCTCTGCCACATTAAACAAGCCAGTAAAGTTCTGCGAGTGAAACCGGCTCGCCGGATTACACGGTGTGAATGGGTGAATTTAGCCGAGCCGCCCCCCGACAGCTACTTACGTTTTCGCACCGCTGCCGTTCCAATGTTACTGGCACGGATAATTAGGGTTCCCAAACTAATTAACTGTTTCATCCTTACTTGTATTCAATGCAAATTAGTTATGAATGTATTTTTTATTTATTTAAGTACATAAAGTTATTTTATTTGTTTCCGTAGGATGACAAATTTATCTTTGTGACTGCTTAGATATTTTAAGATTCATTGTTGAAGGGGATACGGCGATATTAATATTATATTAGTCAAATTAAAAAAGAACCTCGAACGTAATCTCCTTTCGGCCCCTTAAATTCACTTTCTCTACTCGTCTTTATTACAGAGCCGTTTTGTTAGCGAGATTTCAGCTCCCCCTGTCTTACGACGCGTGTCCCCCTAACTAGAACCTTCTTGCATCCAGCGGACGTTTAACAACGTCATAACAACCATAAAACTCCGTACCAACTTCGGCTTTATACAATGATATGAAAATTCATTTTCAATTAACGCATTAAAACAGTTAGCACTTTACATCGCGGATGGTCGTCGTGCAATTGTCCTTTTTCTGGAGCAGTCAAAGATAAACGCCCGAATGGGACAGAATGACTTTTAGTAGTTTGGCGTTTATTCAACTTTTAAGTTGTCGAGCATACAATTCGGCCTTTACTTTTACGGGGTGAGGGACTTTTCTCGGGCATCGCCATTTATAGCACTGGATACAATTTATACATCTAGGAAATTACAATGACTAGCTTTGGAAGAATAAGATGTTGTTAAAAGATATGCGTACTTGTTATATTTGAACAATTTTATATTCACAATGCTATACTTATCGAAATTATATTTATCGAAAGTTTAAAATATTTGTAAAAATATACCTTTCAGCTATTTAGGTGGTTTGCCTGAAAACATTAATGAAAACACGCTCTTTAGTAGCGAAAAAATTACAAAGTAACAAATGCTTGAATGATTCATCAGTCCTGTTATGTTCTGGGTAGCTCAGTGGTCGTGGGTTCGAATCCATCTCAGAGTACCAGGGACAAAGTAGATTTTTTAAGCCTTTTTTCATTAAGAGAATACGTTTTTATTTCTTATAAATTATACGTGTTTTATTTTCATAAACTTTTACTAAGGTCAAGAACATAATATTTGCCGTTCGCCGTTTTACAAGTTTCCGTTTCAAACGGTGTTTTATGTAGGTATGTGGAAGTGAAAATTGCTCTGTTATTCTTTCCTTCGGAAAATCGAGTCAGATCTTTTAAGTCTCGGGTGTGATTCCTCTAGTAAATGTGAAGTTGTAATGGTTAATTCATTTTGCAGTTTATTATGAGTAAGCGTCGTAGTATTTGTAAAGAAAAATAGCTTGCATTAGAACTCGTGTTTTCCACTAAGCTGTGTTAAACTAGATTATAGTTTTTTTGCTCGTTGTAACAATTTTATTTTTCTTTTTGGAATTTTCTATAGAGATCTCCATTGACTCGCCTTGGAAAAAAAACGAGATAAAAATAAAAATGCGAAACCTGGTTAAGGCAAATTTTTTAATTGTTCATTTTACAATTGCCAATTACACTAAGTTAATTTGTCGAAGGATGAGAATAGCGTGATGTTATCCAATATTTATTTATTTAAAATAGTTTATTTGTCTGATGCAGCGGGTCTGTACCCGCCCTTACCTGTGGCGACGCCCTGCATCAAAGCGATATCCCCCAGTGAAGGATGGACTTCAGGAGGTTCCACTGTCATCATTGTGGGAGACAATTTCTTCGACGGACTTCAAGTTGTTTTTGGGACGATGCTGGTTTGGAGCGAGGTGAGAATTGTGTATTGTATTAAAAAGATTTGTTGGTTAATATGAGAGTATTTATTTAAATTGATAGCAACAATATCGATAGAATATCTTTGTAGTTTTTTTCCGTTTGCGTGTGATATTTTAAATCGTAAGCGATTATTATTTTACATTAAAGTAATTGATGTTTTTTAATTGACCTTAAATTGTCGTGAAGAATTATTTAACTAAAAGAAATAATGTTCATACTATGAATAAATTAAATTACATTAAAAAATATTCATTATTTCAAATTTTTCCTTTCTTCATGTTTTTATAAGCATGGTAGTGTCATTTGGCAGCATCATGAGAATGACTTTTAATTTTTCCCTTTTTTGTGTACAGCTCATAACATCGCACGCGATAAGAGTGCAGACGCCACCACGCCACATACCAGGGGTGGTGGAAGTGACGCTCTCTTATAAGAGCAAGCAGTTCTGCAAAGGAGCGCCAGGCAGATTTGTATATGTTTGTGAGTAAACCTCTTTTGAATTGCCATTACTAAAATAATGTTTAATTATGTTAATCGTTATCTAAATCGTCATCATCATCATAAGTCTTTTTTTTAATTCTCCATCGCACGGGCTCAGGCTTTCCTTATAGGTTAAGGAGGATGGGCCATAACCTTTAATATTAACAACCGCGAATGTAGCCAGGATCAACGGCTTAACGTGCCTTTCGATGCACGGAGTAGCTCAAGATAGTTTTTTGGTCACCTATCACTATAACCTAGTGACAGATCCTTGTAAAAGTTGCTTAGTAACAACGGTCGCGAGCCGTGGCACTACACCACCTTAACAAATACATTGATCAAATAATAAATATATGTTTGAAAATTCATTTTGGTCCAGATTTAATACACACAAAATTTCAATGCACAGATGCATGTAATAAATATATTGCATTGTTTAAAGTCTCGCCGTTAGTTTAAGTTGTTTTTTATTTGTATTTCAACGGTAAATAAAAGTTCCAAATAAACTAAAAAAATAGCTAATTACCTGGAGTGTAATAATACGATAATAAGCTCAGGTGGGCTATTGACTAGCATACTAATTAAACAATGAAGTCATTTCTGCTATATAATTCGTGATAAAAAATCATAATAGAAAAGTTTCTTCAGAATAATTTTGATAGTAAATATAAATATTAACATTACTATTAAGTAACTAAATAATAATAAAATAAGTTAGTTAAAAAAGAATTGTAATCTCACCGCTACAAAATGTATAATATCATTCCAAGTAGATTATAATGCTTGAAATTTTTTAAACAGACCACTGTTTACGCGGTACAATTATTGCAACACCAGGAAAATGCGACCGAGTTTTTGTTCGATAAGCCTTAATTTGCCAACACTGATAGGCTCGAATGTCTTGGACGATCCATCAATTAGCTTACCATTCGTTAGTGCCAGCTAATGATTGATCTTGTTTATTTTCGTTTGTCTATTATATTGATCTTACGATAGAAAAATATATAACGTACTAGCTGACCCGGCGTACTTCGTACCGCCATATTTTACTTTTCCAGTCACGACTGAAAATTTTATTATAAATTTTCTTATATGTGAACCTTGTCCTGACAATAAAAAATATATAAAAAAGGAATCATCCAACTCGATGCAGTCGTTCGGAAGTTATACGCGTACATACATTTCGAGGATTCATTTATATGCATTAATATATATAGATAAGTTAACGACGAACTTCATATAAAAATACCTTAATTAATGTACGTAACTTTATATAACTATAAACTAATGAAATGTACAATCGAAACAACACTAGTTTGTTTAAAATTTCTTTAAACGCTTTATTTATTCCGCAAGTAGATCAATTCAAGCCGAAAGGAAGCGAACGAAACTAACTCCCTTATACGTGCATGTGATATAATTAATTCCTCTCGCTACGTTTGAAGTCAAATTAATTTATATATAATAAACGTAAGGTTCAAATTAGATTGTGGTAATCGGAATGTATCCATAATCCTTTCACCGACTAACCGAACACGTAAATTTTAACTGACTTTACAAATCAGCTTTGATATGAAACAATATTTGGCTTATTGCTAGTATATTCACGTAAAATGGATAAGAAATCTAAGTGCGAAAAATTTTACACAGCGAAAAATAAATAAAATGAACCTAATAGCTTTCCAGTCAATTTATTACTAGTTGTTTTCGCGACTCCGCTTCGCATAAATTATAGCCTATGTCACCGGTTTATAAAGTAACTTACCGTAGGTGAAAACGTTTAAAAAAAATACAAATGTTTCAGAGCCTATTCAATGATCAATATTTCCCTCTTTACAATATTACTATGTTCAAATAAAAAAGTTATTGTTTCCTATTTATACAATTGGTGTAGACAAGCTGGCTACTTATGAAACAATATTGGGAACAGGGCTTTATTTCAGGTGGCTTTGCTGTGTAATCTGTATTAATTAAAAGTTTAACGTACCCAATTCATATAAGATTAAATAAAATTCTTCTACTCGATAAGAACTCGAATAAATGTAACGTTTATATCGTTTACTGCCATTTATTCATAATTCAGTATTATAAGTTATGACAATTTGGTATAAGCAATTAGTATGTTTCTGCCTCAATTCATGATTATAATATTTGTGTGTTTGCATAGCAGCTCTCAACGAGCCAACGATAGATTACGGCTTCCAGAGGTTACAGAAGCTTATCCCGAGACATCCAGGCGATCCCGAAAAATTACCAAAGGTAAATTTATTTTACTGTGTAATTTGCGTTTGATACATTAATTATTCTAGCTTTTACTCAAAACATCTTCATTATTGTTTTTACATATGTAGTTTTCATTAGTATAACTTATAACTTTTCTATTGTTACTTAAAAATATATAAAAAGCAAATACTATAAATAATAAAAATATAACCGAATTTTCAGTATCAAAAATATAAAAATTCATATCTTGTTGGAAGCATTTGTACTTATAATCTAAATATTTTCCAAGTCATTAAAGTTTGTATCCACATTAGCTATGATCCTCCCGAATAAATCATTTGTAATTAAATCACAAATGAAAATTCTAAAATTTTAGAATGATAGTGTATTGTATAAAGTAGTATTTCCCTATGAAATTGTGATAAAACATAGATTCTTATAACAGGAAATTATACTCAAACGGGCAGCAGACCTAGCTGAGGCGCTGTACTCTATGCCTCGGAACAACCAGTTGGGATTAAGCGCGCCAAGATCACCGCCAGCGAGCATGCCCTTCAACTCGTATACTGGTCAGCTGGCTGTCAGTGTTCAAGATACTGCTGCTTCACAATGGACTGAAGGTTGGTCAATAAAAATATTTGGTTGGAGTAATATTGTCGCGTGTTTCACTGATATTTTGTAAAAATAATAACTCATATACTTCCAGGCCTATCAAGACTTAAATAGAAAAAAAAAGCCGTGTAGTTTTGCTATGAAACAGACAGAGTTACATTCATTTATGTATAATAATAGATTCAATCATATCGTACTGAAATAAAGCTATGCGTGCACTAGTGATTTCTTGCCAACGTGATTGTTGCTGTCATCGTGCTCTCGTCCAATAGATGGTAGTGACCTAATTGCCGATGATGGAATATAAAAATATAATATTGGAAAAATATACAAAAAAAAAATTGTACGACATTCAGAAAAAGCATATCGCGTTACTCAAAATTTTAAATCACAAATAATGAATTATCAAAAAGAAATTATGTAAAAGATCAAAAACGAAAAGTTTGTATGCGACAACCTAGGACAATATTATTAACAATTTTTTATTTTTTATAAATTAACATTTTTTTTCGAAGTCGCATAAAATATTTAGAGTTATTTTATTATTTTTTCTAACTTCAAAGTCCTAACTCTAGTTTCGTGTTGACCCCAGGCTTTTTCTTTTAGAGGAGTACGCGCGTAGCGGCGGCTCGGTCTCCCCGCGGTATTGCTCCGCGGCGTCGACGCCGCACGCCGCGCCGGCCTCCTACCCGCATCCGCAACATTACCCTGCACCGCCCACATCACTGTTCAATACTACATCGCGTAAGTTTAAAATGTCATGTCATGTGTTGTCGTCAAACAAAGCCGATACCCAGCATTAGACGGTTAATTCAAATTGGTAGCACTAATAGAACTTTTGTATAATTAATTTTCGTACAAAAAAAACTGCTATGTTTCCTACATTAATAGAAAATTTTATCAGTACACAAAATTTCAATGATAAATATTTCAACTTTTGTATAATTCATTTACGTATAAAAAAACTGCAATGTTATCTACATTAAGAGAAGATTTTATCAGTACACAATATTTCAATGATAAATATCTTAAAATAATGTCTGCTATTGTTAACACTTTTGAACACTGCTTATTTTGTCCAATATTTAATTTACTGCTTAAAATTATAGTACTATTAAAGCAAACGAGATATCACATTTGCAACGCTTTTAAGCACGCTATTCGTTACAACGCTTTGTGTTAACCCCCAGTTTTTTTTTGTTCCGTCCAGTGTGCCTTGGCCCGTATCACCCGGCGAACATGAATGGACATTTATCATCTGACCATCACTATAACGCGTATAATACGAAAGATAGCGGACATTACAGTGAAAGAAACGGGAACTGTAAGAGCTCTGACTGTCCGGCAAACACTCATTCTAAATGCACCGGGAACGTTATGAAAGCGTCTCATAGTAAAGAGAGCAAACTGAAAAGTGCTTTTGCCGTAGTGAGACATAGCCCGCCGCGGTCCAATGCTCACCACCATCAAAATTGGCAGCATCTCGCCGTGCAATGTTAGTAGTTTCTTTATGTTTTACGTGACGCTTTTCTTTTTGTTTGATGCTGCTGTCTCGTTATAGGTGTTTTCTTTGTTTCATTTCTGAGGCTTTCTAGCTTTTTGTTGCAATGCACCGCTTTTAAATTAAATTGCTGCTCTTGTTTTGTTTGCACTATTGAAATTATTATGAAGACACAAAAACATTTTTTGGAAAATGGAAACAAGAAAAATCATACTATGGTTTTATAGAGTTTATCCGAATAATAACATTAGTGAAGGATCAATTTTAATTCGTATAGTTTTTTATTTACCTAAAACTTTTTCTTTGCAATCACATCTGTTCAAAACGAATTATTTAGATAGATTGTATGAACATTAATAGAAATGCGCTCAATAGCAGCGATCTTAAAATGTTTAAGAAATATTTAAGTCATTTTTCATATGATAAATAGCTAAATTTTGTCCACAGGAATGACAGGACTAGTGTCATCGCCATTCTCTGTGAATCCGTTCTCGTTACCTACTTGCAGCGCTCAGCAGTACGCTCAGACCGCGCCTCTAGCGTCCAAGTAGCCGCGGTTGCGTACGTCAATTTGGACGTAGGGTACTGAACATTTTGTGACACGGTAATGACGTTTTTAGAGAAAAATGATTTTGTAAAATTAAATTTGTTTATAATTTCTTATGATTTAGACGTACCACGATTACTCGTAAGTATTCAACTTGATGTAGCTTAAGGGCACAATGATTGAATTATGACATTAAAAGAATGTTATATAATTTTATTTTCAATGGTGAAATTTAGTAAAGTTGCGGAGCGGATACGAGAAATTGTAAATAAATATTGTTAAATAAATGTACATAATAGAAAATTTAATGTCTTCAAAAATTGGTTGCTAGATTCGCGTAGATGTAGATTTTTATAAAAACTTACGCCCATACCCAATAAAAATCTAATGGAACGCTCAGGGCAATTAGTTTAAGTCATTGTAAAAAAGATTTTTCTAAATGATTCAATATTGGTTTTTACAATCCGTAATTGTACATTTTGTTTCTGTAAAATCTGTGATATATTTATTATAAGTATCTTAAAACTATTGTAATGTGTAAATTGTTTCTTTTTTCATTGCGGCAAGATAAATAGCGAATGCTTGTTTCCATCGTCGGATGTCTCTGAAATATCGACCATATCTCGTAACGAAAACATATCTATATTTATTAAATAGAAACTACTTAAATAAGGATACAACGAAAAAAAATATATATCTAACTTCGATACGAAAAAGGATGTATACGAAAGACGAAAGTAAATTTTTTTCCGATCAATTCGCTTTGGATTTTGAAGGGGATGAGAACGTTACGTGGCGATATATATTTGTTTGTATATGGATCGTGTAGTTACGTATTGTTTATCGCGATTGTGTATTTGATAAGGGATGTACATTGTAATCGATAATGAAACAAATCACAAAATAAAAGATTAATAAAATACGTAACTGAGTGTTTCCTTTCTATCGCTTTAGATACTTTTTTTGTATTTAATGGTTAAAATTATGGATAAATGTCAGCTTCTACTGCATCTGCACGTACGAAACGTTTGCCGATGTCATAGTTGATAGTTTTGACGTAATACTGTGAAGTATCTTCGCTGAAGTACTCTATATGACGTCATCGGCATACAACGCATTCTCTTTGCTCATATAATGCGTCCTGTCGGTGCGGAGTGCTATACGAATTCATAAAAAGCTATGGAAAATCCATTGTGCCGTGCGTCCGTTGCGTATGTGCTGACACAGTGGGCGGTCACCTTTACAGGATACAGTCGTGTAATTCATGTTTCTATTGATGTATCTAAATAACACTTATGACGTGGCGTTATTAAAAAAATACACAGTCAGTTATACTTCTTTGTGGGATATTTTTAACAAAGATAGATATAACAGTTCTCAATAGATAAAATTTAGGAAATGGAAAGTAAATCATGCTCAATAGATAAAATGTAGGAAATGAAAAGTAAGCATTGGGTGATGGTTCACATGTCCCATATATCTTTTAATTAAATGAAATCTGCTTGTTATTGTTAATTGCGTATCTTACTGACTGAAGAATTAATTTTCAACATCATCAGCACATTTACTTCCCCACTGCAGGGCCCAGGCCATTCCTTGCTGGTTAAAGAGGATGGGCCATGACCCTCCACGCTGACCCAATGCGGATTGAAGGGTATTAATGACTGCAAATGCAGCTGGTACCATTGGTATGCCGCGTCTTCCAAAACACGGAGTAGCTCAACATAATATTATTTTGATCAACCGTCCCGTGACCGTGATTGCTATAAAATTTCTCGTTAAAACCATACAATTCATACAACTCCATCGATCATCACAAACAAGACATCGTTGAATCTACGAGCCACATGGTCGAATTCGCGCCCCACTTGAAATATTATACTTACAATTTTTGTTCCACTGTAGGGGTAATATTTTCCATTGTAATTCCTGACTAGATAATGCATGGGTTTATCTTTGGTTCTAATTGTATGAGTTAAAAATGGGGATCGTGTTACTAGCAGATTAGCATCAAAATGGCAGGAACGCAATTTGGACCGGGCGGCGCTTTTTGTAAACTTAAATTAATTATGGTGATTTTGTTGGGGTGTTATTTTAATGGATAGTTCTATTCGGAATCGGTGACTTGATTATAAATAAATATAATGTGATTTCATTCAATTTTTAGCTATAATCATTTGAGTAAATGCTTGGAAATTTAAAAAAGATATTACAGTATTTTTATTCAAAATGATAATGACATTTATTATACAAAAAAAAACATAAGTAATAAAAATATTATTTCCCAGAAACAATCACTATGACGGTGAAAAATACACTTTAACCTAATTGAAACACAATCTCGTAAAGCACGATATACTACAAATTTGTCTAACTCGATTAAGTCACAATCAAAATGGGCGTTTGTCGGTAGCAGTTTGTCGGCGTGTGCAGCACACGTGCGTGCGAACCGCGCGACTAGAAGTTCGATACAAAATTTTGGACTGCATTAATATAGGTTTGTATTTAATTAGACTTGAGTATTCTTTTATTTTATTAGTAATTCTTTCTCTATTTTAGTATTTTTTTAGAAATCCTCAACATTCCCCAGCCTATTAATTTCTCCATTACTGGAACACAAGCCTTACCTATGGATGGAATCGAATCGAAAGGGGAATATGAGTTATGACCCACGCGGGCTAAGTGTGGAATAGTGGGTGTTTAAAGACTAGATGCAACCGGGATCAACAACTTAATCTGCCTGCACCGAGAAGCTTGGGATAGTAAATTTTGGACACCCAACTTACGGCCGGCCCTTGCGATATTTACTTAACATCTGAGTCACACCCTAAACATGCCAACCTCTGTGCTATTGAGCTTCTCTTATACTACTTAGGAATTGCTTAGTTTTATATATAAAAGCACTCTTCATTATTAATATTGTGTATATGGTATTATTTCATTCTAGTAACTGTTGAGGTACTTAAATAAATTAGCCAATTTAAATTTATAACCATAAATAATCAAATAGATATGTTAAAAATGATAATTTATATGTAAACAATAGTTTTATATTATGTAGTATTTTTAGTTATAAACTAATTTGTAAGTATAATTTATATTAGCAAAATTAACTTGCGATTTATAATCTGTACAATTATGAAATGTGATTATATGAACCTAAACGTGGTTGGCCATGATGGAGCATCGTATGACTTCACATTCCTTTTGGAGACACTTTTTGGAGAAAAAAATCCGATAGTTGTTTATCCGATAAAATCCGATATGTGATATCATATGAAATTTTGATATAATTTTTTTAAAACAGTCAAGTACCCTCTCAAACAAACAACATAAAACAATGTAATAATAAACAAAAATGAAACAATTATATCAAAAATTTATTTAAACTCATTCAAAACAGTGACCTAATATATAATAAAAAAAAAACAATCCCTTTTAAATGTATAACGCTTGTAATAGCTATTTATGAAATTATATTACGTTTGAAAATGCAAGATGATTAGAATAACCAAGAGTCATAATGAAAACTTCGTAACTTTAAACCAATATTTGCGTCTTGCCTTGGGCAATTCCAATCAACGCCAAATTCAAAAACTACGCAATTGCGGACAGTTGTAACGTGAATTTCGTGAACATCTTTCAAACTTCAAATTGAATGGGATTGTTATAGATTTTAAAATTAGACAATTAGGCCCAAGTGCATTGGATTATTTGATATATCTACTTTCGATTGGGTATCAAATGTCATAAAGGGGAAGATGACATTTTTATTTGTCTACATACATTAGTCATTATGATAAACAAGCAGTGCGTACAAATCGCTTTCCGTCAATCTGTCGTGTGGCGTCCGCGCGTGGCGGTCGCGTGTCGCTGTCGCGCATTACCGAATTAGCATCCTGTGTGCACTTAGCCTTATATCGCATTAGCTGTGGGCGATACTTGTTAGTGATTATAATATTATGAATTGCTACTTTGTTAGTTTTATTACGGAATTTGTTACTAATTGGCTTGGAGATTTTCGTGGTCTAAAGATATTTGTATATTTTTAGTAACAATTTGAGTTTTAATAAATAAAAATGTAAGTTAATAAATGATAACTATCAAGTATAATAGACAGTATTTCTAATAATAATATTATTTTAAGAGTTATCTCCATGCTATTATTACGACCGCCGTAGCCGAGTGGTTTATACGGTGGTTTCAAAGTATTACCATCTTTGAGGCCCGAGTTCATTTTCCGGTCGGGTCAATATAAAAATGGACTTTTCTACGTTCTCGGATTTGGGAGTTGTGGTACCTTCATTATCTCAGATACTTCATTAAACGAGGCCTATAACAACTCATCTTGGAATTTGAGCAATGTATGTGATGTAATCTAATAATTATTTTTATTTTAATAATAAAAAAACTACCACTATGTAACCACGATACAAGTTAAATGTTACAAAACAGAAAGTGCGCTACGGATTGAATCATCGTAGCACGCCGTAGCTCAACAAGTGTCGAAACGAATTAAACCTTTCAAGTTCTACGAAAATAAAAACGTAACGCATAAGAAGTCCTACGGCGGGCGAAAGTGGGTGGTTGGGGGTCGACAATAGGTGTACAGATAACTTTCCTTCCATAGAGTCAATACCGACCCTGGGGAGTTTTACCCTCGGGGCACGGTCGCTTGGGAAAACTAGAACCAACAATATAGAAAGGGACGGACTCTTAAGACTCTGTGCGTTCGAAGAGTGCATCTGATCGTACTTATGTATTAATAATATATAGAGGAAAAATGTCGAGGACGTGCGCCGAGTGATATGTTGCGACTGTTAGTCGGAGAGGGATAGATGGCATCAATTTGTCGTGTCGTGATGGGATTTTATTTTGTTTCCGCTTTGGTGCATTTTTAAATGTTCTAAGGTTATTAGAATTTAAACTATTTTTTAAAGCAAATGTAGTATAGTTTTCACGCCTTAATTACAGAACCAGTTTTAATGAAATTTGGTACATAGA